TTTTTTTCTGCCTTGATTTAAATCTGTATGTAATGTTGATATGTTTTATCTACTGCTGAAAATCATTTGTTTGTAGTTTCTTTTAATTTTGTAAAGTTGCAAACTGGTTCAACAATGTCATGATTATTGTTACCCACTGTTTAATGCGTTTGAAGTTTACCTGTCATAGCTTAGCTTGATGACTTGTAGTTAGTTCATGTGTTTCAAAAAATTCAAAAGCTTGAAAAATGAAAAACAGATAGGAGAGGTTGTGTTAGGTGTCTGTTTCGATACTAAGATTAGGATGGGTTCTTCATAATTGGATCAAGTTATTGCTGGTTTTCCAATACTATCATAGGATCATCATTTGTAAATGATATTGAGGAAGAATTGGGTGTAGCTTTTATGGAGATGTTGATAGTGAATTAAGAAAATGGAATATGAACATGTTTGGACTTGGAGATTTTTATTCAAAAAAGAAATTTATCTGCTATATCCAGTGGAGACATTTATGCTTATTTGGCATCTTTTCTGTTGTTAGGTTTTCAAATATTTTTGTAATGATGTCATGGACATGGACTGCTCCGGATGCTGCGGGTTATTAAGAGAGACCTAAAACCAGCCCGACATCGCAATGCAGACAGTGAAGATGATGATGAAGATTTTCTTGGTATTGAAGAGGAGGAAGAAATTGATGAAGCCGAGACTGGTGAAACAGGGGAGAGTGATGAGCAGACAGATGACTCAGAGGCAGTAAATGGTGTTGAAGAAGGCGATAAAGAACTTCCTAAAGATTCTGATGATTCTGATAGGGAATGGATGATGAGGCAATGTTCCGCATGGACACTTATCTTGCCCAGATTTTCAAAGAGAAAAAGAATCAGGCTGGGAGTGAAACTGCTCAGTCACAGCTTAATCTGTTTAAACTTCGTGTTCTATCATTGCTGGAAATTACCTGCATGAAAATCCAGGCAAGTACGAGTATTCATTGCTTCAGTTAAGGTTAGCTGTAACTGTCATAGATTGCTGCACAAACAGTTTTGTCTGAAATAAAAAATAAAAGCTCTTAGGAATATATTAGCCTTTTTTCTGAAAAAAAAAAAAAATTGCCTTTTAGTGGCATTTACTTGGATCAATAAAGAGGGGAGAATTTAGCAATAAATATCAGTGATAATCAAGTTATTTCAAGAGTTATCAAAGCTGCCTTCTACTACCAGTGTTTGGACTTAATTAATGTCTTGTCCTTGGAATGATTAGTTTTATGTTAAAGGTAATTTAGAAAGAATTGATTTAAAAAATTTGCAATGTTCATGTAACAATGATTTTTTCATTTTGACTATTTTCCTGGTTGATTTGTGGTATGTGGTTTGGAATTGTTTCATTTCACAGGGAAGCCCCAGGTTCTGATGGTACTCAAACTTGGCTCGGCATTTGTTAACCCACATACTGCTGAAGGTAGTGGGCAGCTTGAACAAAGTGTATGGGGAATCTACAGAAGAAAATATTCAAGGCGAAAGACTTCCTAAGGGTGAATCTGTGCCACTACTACTCTTGAATCTTTGTTGGAGAGAAACTTAAAATTGGCAGCAAGACCATTCAAGAGAAAGAAATCTGCTGCTAATCCATCTAAGAAGAAGCGGTCAGCTTCTGGAACAGATACCAAATGATTGTCTCCCTGCTCAGAATTCAACTTTGGATTCTGAAGATCATTGGCTAGAAAATTTTCTGAGTCTGAATTGCAGAAGGTTTATTATTTTTCCGAACTGTGTTGGCTGGTTATTTTGACAGTAAAAAGTCTCAAATAAAATCTGAATTTTTGAAGAAGAATATTTCGAAGAAGAACATGGATTGGGCACAATGTTCAGCTTATACTGGAAAAATGTGGCAGTGCAAAATCAGGATTTCGTCAAGTTGAGGCACTGGATTTGGTGATGGAGAATTGAAGTCAGTGGTTCGTTAAGCCAGATGAAGCCAGCCAGGATGCATCAAAGAAAGCCTTGAAGAGCCGCCTCCGAAATCTCAGTCGTCTGATAAAGGAGTTGGCGACACATATGCCTGAGAAGCAGTCAAGGAAATCTGAAGTACGTAAGTTCTGTTCTAAGATCTTTCAGATGGTGTCAAGTCTTAACCTAACCAAGTCCTTTCTTAAAGATTTGACCCCTGATGCACTCGCTGCTTGTGAATCTGAACTTGGTGACGCATTTCTTAATCTGAAGAAAGTGGAATGAGATTGGTTAAGAGTAAATATTTACCGAAATTCATTCGAATACTACATTCTTGGAAAACTTGAATTTAACCACTATATACTCCGTACTGAAGGCAAAATGTATGAGTTAATCCAGCATTTTCGTTGCTAAACGGTTTCAGTGCTGATAGTCACTTTTTAAAGAAAATGAAATAGGAAGGCTGCAGTATCATGTGATGAAACTTGATGTTGGTAAAAATGTTAAAAAGTTTTGTGGGTTTATTTGTTATTGATGTAGGAAGAGACTGATAATGGTGAAAAAAGATTTTGAATGTGTTATGTAATAATTCTGGTATTTGTTTTGTCATTCGTTGTACAATGTTTGAAGCAAATGATTAGCTTGGCTTCATTTAGAATTTTATTAAATCATCAGTAGTTCCACATAAATGCAATCATAATCTTGAAGTTGAAAGGCTAATGTACAATTATTTTGGTGATGTTAAATCAAATATCACATGAATTGAAATGTAATCTTAAAATTATGAAAGATGTTTAACTTGTAGGATCTGCGATTACGTATTTATAAACAGTGGCAACAGGTGTAAGAACCACTTTATTCCAATTTCCAATTAAATAACTTAATCACTCTGTGGAGCCCCACGGAAATTCGGGTTTTCACTTGCCGAGAGTTACACCAATTGGCGAAGAAGAAGCTCAGTCTCCTTTGATTCTCAACCAACATGACTGCTCAGAGTAGCAAAAAGCCCAAAGTCAGTCTCTTTCTCTCTCACTCTTTTAATTTCTCGACTTGTCTTAGCTTCTTTAATTCATCATGAATTTGAAATCTCACGAAATCATTGTTCACACGGATAATATCATTTTTTTTATTTAATTGTTGAATATTTCTAAGTAAATATGAGGAATGGAATCCCATTCCACCTTTACAAGGTATGGAAAAAAGAGGGTTAATCATTCCTATTCCCATTGAATTCCGTACAACAAACATGATTCCCATCCCCTTATTTACTTCTTACTTGGTGTATTTCCCATTCCTTCAAAATGTGGGGAATGTTATTCCTAATTTTTGTTTTTTTTTTTTAAAGGGTAGTATTTCTTATTTTACAAATTATCTAAATTACTATGCTAAAACTTTTCACAAATTCTCAGACATTTCACAAAAGAACCCCTAATTCTCTTGCAACCTAATTCAAAAACAAACTAGGGCTCTCTTGTCGCCTCCCGAGTTCTGCACCGAGCTTCTCCAATTGCATCTCTACATCAAATTGGCGATACAAGGTAAAAAGTACTGGATTGTCTTTTCAATTTCATAGTTTTTTTATTTGTTTTTATTCAAAACTTTGTTTTCATAATGTTCTTGTTTTGCTGTGAATTTATTTCAGTTGTGGCTTTAGAAATTTGATAGTATTTTTGCGTTGTGGATACATTTCCTTTTAGCTGCTTTCATATAGTTCATTTCTAGATAGTATGGTTGAAGAAAAAATTAGTATATTGGATCTTCAGCTTTGCGTTTTTGGGTTCTTTTTACTGTTAACATTGGTTGGTTAGTGGAATCTATCAACCTTGACTTCTTCTTTACAAATGATAGTATCATAGCCGAGTAATTTACTCGTTTCACTCTTTCTTATTGGACAAAAGTGCCATGATTGTTGCGATTTTATTTATCCCTCAAGTATGTAAAGAACTTCCTTATATAGAATGTGAGTTTCGAATATAGATGTTTTTCTTGTTGCACATCTGTTGATCTGCTTTGCTTGTTAAGAAGTCTGGCTGGTTTCGAAGAAATTGGAAGTTGAATATCTACTTTTGTGATACCCTGCATGTATATTTTTTTGCATTTCACAGTGAGGCAAGAACTATTTTGTAAATTTTTTTTTTTTTTTTCATTTAATATATCATATATGTGATTAATCTCTATATATCTACTAGGTAAATGTTTTGTTAGTTTTGTTATGGTTGTATTCTATTATGTTGATTGCATCTCCTCGTGGATTATATCACATAAAGAAATCTCTTAAGTATGGCTTTGAGTTAGCATCAGCTAGGTTTTATAATTGATTGACATGATCTGTTTGCTAGGTAGGCTGGGGTGTTAGTTGAGGCTGCTTAGTTAAGTAGAAAGATTCATAACATGTTATCATGAAAATAATTATGAAAGAAACAAATAAGAATAAGTTAGTGATCTGTGTAAATTATGAGAACATGGTTTATAAGAATTTGTAGTAAATAGAGATATTTCCCTTGGATGGCTTTTTGCTATGACAGATTCTTGTGATGGCTTTTTGGATGACTTTTTGTAAGCTTTGTTATACTAATCCAAGATACAACAATCTTCCCCGCAGATTAGCTTAGTGATCAAATAAAATGGCCAAATTAAAACCAACCCGATCTTGATATATTAGTTGGTCATATAAAAACCAACCTGAGATTTAATTAATACATATCAACACTATTGTTTTCATTTCTAGGCTCTTGCACAAATATTATAAACTTTTTATGGTTTTTAAATTTCTAAAGCCATTGGATGCTATATTATAAGTAGATAAGCAACGTGAAGATAGTTTAGAAAGAATGAAGACATTGGATGCTGTTTTCTCTATTTGGGACAATTGTTGGAGTTGGATGTTTGCTTTTTTCATATGTATTTATTGTGTTGTAATTTTTTGTTTGAAAAACTTTTTGGATGCTATTTTATTAATATTAGTTATTGTTGAAGACTTGATGAAGGACAATTTTTATGAATTATAGTTTATTGTATTGATTTTTTTGTTTTGTGTGTGTGTGTGTGTGTGTGTGTGTGTGTGTGTGTAAGTTTAGGATGGAATCACATGGACCAGGACAAAACAAAAGATTTTGGACTGAAGATGAGGATACTAAATTAATAGAGATCCTTTTGGAGATGTATCATGAAGGAAAGTATTATGCTGATGGCAATTTCAAGAATGGCTACTTGAGATATATTGAAAAATCAATGGCAGAAAAGTTACCAGGATGTGACATAAAGGCTAAACCACACGTTGAGTCTCGAATAAAAACTTTGAAGACACACTTTCAAACAGTTGATGAAATGTTAACCGGGCCAAATTGCAATGGGTTTGGTTGGGATGTACAAAGGAGAATGGTGACCGCTAAGAAACCAGTGTGGGATGCTTACCTTCAGGTACGCTATTTTATTATTAAATGTCTATGCCATTTTTCTTCATTGTTTAGTGCTTTACTAATTTATTTATTTCGATTATTTGTAGAGTCATAAGGAGGCTATATCTTTTAGACACAAAACATTCCCATTTTATGAAGAGTTGTGCTTGATCAAACAACTAAAAAAGATGTAAAAACCCCTGTTGATGCTATTGTAGATATTCAAAGGATAGAAGCAGCGAACAATGACATTGAAGGAGATAACTTAAATGATGTAAATCTCGGAGTTGATGTGGATTATGATGCTATGTCTTGTTCACATACTTCAAAAAGGGAAACTTCTTCGAATGGCTTGTCAAAGAAAAGAAAAAAAGCTCCAACAAGTAAAGATGATGGGGATCTTGGACAGGCAATTAAAGATGCTGCAATTATCGTTGCAAATGAAATGAGAGAATCATGTAGAATGTTGAGCCAAGCTATTACAGGTCAAGATATCATTGAGAAACAAATGCAGCTTAGCAAAGAGTTAATGAAGCTTGATAGACTTACAGTGATGGAAAAACTTAGAGCTTCTACTGTCATTGCTCGAGATCATGGGTTACTTCGTGTTTTTTTATGGTCTTCGTAACGATCTTAAAGAAGTTTGGGTTCGACTTATACTTGAGGGTGGTGGTTGTTAAGTTATTTACTTTGAAAATATGTAGGTTTTTGAGACTTGATGCCAGACAATTGTATAGGTTAGTTTGTATGTATTTCAATTAATTCTCTAAAACCTTGAAGTGATTAGCCGGTTAACAGCTCCAATTCCAATTTCTGGCCAATGAAATCGGAAATTGGAAATCAAAATTCTATAATTTTATAACTAGTTAAATAATATAAAGAAAAATATCAGACAGTCTGAATTCTGAAGAAGAACTTTTCAGAAAGGGAGGGAAATTGAAAATATTGTATTGAAATTTGTGGGAAATTAATTTGCTAAATTTCTGGTGTCTTTATTTGTAAGTTGTAACACTATCGAAACTTTTATCAGTACACCTTCGATCACTAAAAGAAAACCAATGAAAAATTCAACATTTTATAAATTATTCATTAGATGATGATGAGGTATATAATTTACCCTTAGTTAATGATATGATCTTCTAAGCAAAATAGCATACTAAAAACATGTCAATCAATATGTTAATGTTATAGAGTCAAACTTTGAATCATAATCCAAAGGCAGGCACTACTTCAATATGTTTTCTGAATTTGTTCAGCAAGGGAATTGGGTCCACCACCATATATAATTTCATTATTCAGGCTAAACAACTTACTTTACAAGTAATACTAATATTAGTTATCACACCACAACAATTTTACATTAAATGGCTGCACCAAGTATTGCATTGCCTGCAGAAGCAGAACCCTTCTTTGTTTGTCAAAATTCCCCGTCTCTATCCTATTATATAATACAAGAGAATGACCCATTAAATAAAAAACAAAAACCTCAAGTGAAGACCTTTCGGATTTTTGTTGGACCAACAACTTCGTATTTGGGCATGATGTGCTCAAAGTTGAAGAGATAAAAAGACATTAGAACATTTTGTCAAGCCTTCTTCACATGTTTCTTCTTTATGAATTATTATAGCTTTACAGATAATCTCATTCACGTTCGTAATCATTTTATATCTCCTCCTGATTCCTGAATCTTTTATAGCATACAAAGATGGGGTTTTTCCATTCTCTCATTTGCCTAGAAACGAATATGCAGCAGGCATCTTAACGTTTTAGGTCCATTATTTTATTTAAGTTAAAATCAAAATCTAAAATTGCAAAACACTTGGATGGCTAAAAATCATCTTGTATTAGTGTTATAATGTGTACAAAGTAGTATTTCAACCCTCTAAATCTCTCTCTCTCTCTCTCTAACAAGTCTTCTTCTACCCAATCTCTAACTCCTTGCTACAATTTCTCTACTTCCCTAACCTAAACATTTTTCTCCCATGTTTTTATGGTTTCTACTTCCCCTCTTTACAATCCAGCCAAGCTAAACTTGCAAATTCCCATTTCCAATCAAAATCCTCCCACAAAAGCACCAACAACACAACTCAATTCACCACCCTGCAAGCATCAAAAATTACATACTCAGCACAAAAACATAACATCACTCAGTTACGGTTTAAAATAACTTACAACAAGCAAAAAGCAGTAAGTACCTTCATTCATCCATAACCACCATACTAAGGCCTTCTCTCCAGGAAAGCCTCCAAAAATTTTCCGCAAACCTTAATTAAAGGTCTTACTATGACCGTGCATCATCAGCATCTGAATCACTTCCCGAAGAACTCCCAGAATCTGAATCTGCAACAATTAATATCATTAGTTATATAGCATCTCTCTTAAGACTTGCTCAATCTACACACCGCTCCAAAAATCAAAATTTGGTTAGTACCACTTGACGAAGATGAATCACTGCTCGAACTACTAGAGCTGCTAGAACTGCTACTGGCATTATTGTTATGCCCATTATCCTTCTCAATCTCCACAGGAGGGAAACTGCTCATCGGCATCTCATCACCAATGTCCACATCTTCCTCTCCAGCTTCCCCTTTCTTCGCCTTCTTTGACTCCATGGGCGCCTCAGTTTTCTCAACCATTGGCGTTTCCTGCAACATAAAACAAAAATCACCCAAATTAGAATTCCAAACAATTAATTTCCTTAGAAGTACTCAGATCACAAAAACTATCCATTTCATTTACCCTATTTGCCTCAGTTGCAGCCACATTGTTGTTGCTCATTAAAGCTTGCCTTTTAATCTTGCTAACCATCTTCTTGTAGTTTGTCACAAACCGATCAAGCTCCCAAAGGGTTTCGGTATCCAGAGCCTCGATATCGAGCTCAATCTCATCCTCATCCTGCCTCAGATTCCCATTCCTCTTCTTCAATATATGAATTACATGTTCCATCTTCTCTTGTGGCAAACTCTGCAACCCTAACCCCAACTTGTGCTTCTCCTCCATACTCATCTCTCTCTTGTTGGGATCTTTGGCCTTCGGTTTAGGCTGCTTCAGCGGCTTTACAGCTGGTGTGGCCCTCACAGGCGGTGAGGGTGTTCTCACAGGCAATTGTGCAGCCGCCGGAGGGTTTGGCTTAGGGTGAGGGTTAGGGTTTGACCCAGCTGGCGGAACTCGCATTGGCTCAGATTTAGCCACAAATTGCTGCTTAGAACTCTCTCTATCCTTAAATTCATGTAAATTCCAAGAATTCGCCGGCAATTCCTCATCATAAACCCGCTCTTGGATCTCATCTTGAACCAATTTATCATTTACAGAACGGAACAGCTCTTCAAATCTGGCAAGAAGCTGGTCCGCAATAATATACACATCATGGCCTTTGGGATTATATGTCATGGCGTTGGTAAAGGTCAACCGAACATCAGCTGCAAATTCCACCGGTGAATCGTACAAACTCTTGGCCAATTTTGACTTCACAGTGCCGAGATCCATGGGAATCTTTATAATATCATAATAATCATGTAAACCCATACCAACAACATCAACAGGAGAATTAAAAATATACCCATGCTTGTGCTTCATCAACTTGTTCAAGATTTGCGCACAGCTCTTCAACAGCTTCCCATTATCTTGATTCGATTTCTTCGAATCTTGACTCAAATTTGACGGGAACGGACGTTTGTTCCCGGAAATCTTGTTATTTATGGCCGCAGACGATTTCTTTGAGCTGGATCTGAACGACGACGTCTCGATTCGATTCTTTAACTGACGAATCTGTTCAAGCTCCACAATCAAGCGATTCTTGAGTTCAATCAGCTCCTTCTTCGAATACGACGCAATATTGAAGGTGACGTAATTGCCCAAGAGGAGATGATCATTGTTGTTGGGTCTTCTGTTGATAGAAGATGCGTCGTCTGAGGCGGCGGATTGAGTGACGGCCGGTGACTCATCAATCTGACAGCCGTTGATTTCTGGGGCTTGGTGAAATTGTCTCTTTTTAGGGTTAGGGTTTGGGACTTTGCCCATGAATTTAGGACCACTACTTTTCGGTTGCATCGGCCAATTGCCTTCGCTCCTATTGGCTAACACCGCCGATGCCATCCGCCGTGATTTACCATCAATCGTCTCCTCACTCGTGAACCACACGCGCCACCACGAACTTAATTTTCTAAACAATCGTTAAGTGTAGGGTTTGGGATTTCCCCTAATCAGAGCGAAGAACAAGAGAGGGCTACCCTCCGTTCTTAAAGACGATCAGATCTGCCCGTAAAGATCTCGGGTAGCATCTAACCCCTTGGTTCAATTTAATTCGTAGATCCAACGGTTTGTGTAGTTTTGGAACTGCCCGAGACTCTGACCGGCTGATCTGTCATGGACGGTCCGGATGGTAAGTTATAGTTACGTGTCGCGTGATTAAGCGTCGGATGGGAGGATTGTGATTTTGAAATGGGGATTTTCATTTGGGATGAATTTGGGTTTCATGTGGCGTGAATTTAGGGTTTTCGTGTGACGTGGGGCCCAGATTTGATGACGTGGAAGGAAAGGCCAACTGGGTGGACCGGCGTGAGCCAGAAGCTACGCGCATGTGGAGGTGATTGTGAAATGAAATCGCTTGCCGAATACCGTGTCAATCTTAGAGGGCATTATCGTAAAATTATTACAAAATTATTGGCGTTACCAAGGGTAAAGTAGTAAATCCAATTTCCCCCAATCCACATCGTCCAAACCAATAAACATTAAATATCCTTGTACGTGTAAAAGAAATAAAAATATGAGAGAAGTTTCCAATTTATTTAATGAAATTAAAAGGTAAAAATATTATTATTAAAATTTCTTATTAAGGTGTATGTTAATATATTTAGAAATATAGAGGATGAAATTAATAAGAAGTAGTTGAAAAATAAATAAAAAAGGGATTTTAGTTGGAGGTTGAATAATTAAAATTGATGATGTTTTTTGTTTTTGTCCTCTACCGCAATTTCATATCTTCTTTATTGGGCATAGGAGTAATTGTTCATTGTTGTTCCAAATTTCATAGAGAGTGTGGGAGTTGTGTCTACTTTCACAAAACTTTTTAACTTGGGTTTGGTTGATTCAATAGAATTCACTGTTTTTATTTTATTTTTCTCACTGTTCAGAATTAAAATCCAAATCATGACTTGTCTTTGTCAAAATCAGACTGAAAACAGTAAGTCTACCCACAAAAATAAGTAACCCAAAGTGGTCCTTCCTAGGATTTTATTTGATTCCTAATAACCCTCTTTTCTTTGTTTTTTCTTTGAGGATAGGGGCTCCCAACTAGTCTTGGGGAAAGAATTTCAATAGTCATTCTTATTAGCGTAAAGATCTCTTAAATTATATATCTAAAAGTTTCTATCAAATTAATAACCCTTCTTTAAACCTCGTGTCTATGAATTTCTCTAATTACGAGTTAATTATTATTCATTTTTTGGGTCTTAGTTGAAACATAATTTGTTTCTTAAGAAAATAACTCTATCCTAAAATTTCATGACTCATTTTACCAAAATGCATTTTTTTTTTTTTTAACTAAAAACCTAAAGTGTATAGGTGAATTCATTGATTACTTTGAGTTTTTAGTTAAGAAATGATAATTTAGTCTGATGGGTGTTGAAATTTGAAATAAACTAATTCTTGGGAAACTTTTATAAATGGGTTATTTTTCAATTCACACCCAAGTTACTTAATTACTATATAATTATTATATTTTTTTAACGAATTTTAATAGTTATCAAATTATACCTGTGAAATTGATTTGGTTTGTTAATAGAAATTCTTTTGAAGAAGTTTAAGTGAAGTTTCTTTGGGTCATTGATAAAGAAAAAAAAAAGTATCACTTAAATAATTAAAAAAAATGAAAAAAAAAAACCACCTAATTAAGAAAATTTATCATAGTCTTAATATGAATAATAAATGGGTTAAGTAGTCGGAGATGATAAGAAAATATATGGTTGAATATCTATATTAAATAATATAATTTTTTATAACAGCATGTGCACAAAATATGCATAATATAATGTGGTATTTCTATTTACTAAAAATTACTTAATAAATTGACCAATTTGATATTTTTTTTAAGTCTTAAAGTTTTGTTCCATTCTTCTCTTTGTTTTTTCTCTTCTTCCCTTCTTTCCCCAACGATACCATAAGGCCTTGAAGGCTTTTAGCGAATTTTCAGTACTAATTGAACATCTTACAAGCCCAATGTTTTAAAATAAACCACAAATATGATAAATGGTTTTAAAGAGATTTGAACTTAGGAAGTCAATAAAGAGAGCAAACATTCTCGATCGCAAGCCAACCCTTGAGGTTGATTTTAATATAAATTCAATAAATTGATTGGTAAATGAGAAAAAAGAGAAAGTTTGTTAGGGTGGTGAAAAAAAAAATTTGATAAGATTTTTGGAAGTGGGTGAAAAGTTGAAAAGTTTTGATGTAATTTAGGTTGATGGGTGAAAATGTAATTTTCCAATTAAACGGATTCTCATTATTTATTAATAAATTTTGAACAAAATAAGAACTATGGTCTAATTTCACAAATTATTGGAGATTGTTCTCATTTAATGAAATATATGGGCCTCAACGTCATAACCCTTTTTATGATATAATTTATATTATTTGCAAGTGTTTAATGAAGGTGATTATTCAATTAATAAATTGAATTAGAATTATATATGGGGTTAAGTTTAGGTAGCTTAATCCTTTTGGATAACATGTCTTTTTACGTAGAAATCAATTAATTAATTTTCAATTTCACACCAACTCTTCGCATTCAATAACTAATAAAGCAGTTGGTTTATTTGGTAACATTTTATAAAAATAGTATTCAATTTTGCGTATAAACTTCCTTCTTTGTTTCGAATTTGTAAATCAAAAGTAAAACAATGGATTGAGAAACAAAACTTTTACAAACTTAAAATATTATTAATTTTTCTTTAAAATGTAATTAACTAATTGGCTTTAAATTAATGATTAATTTGAATAACAAACTAATACATCTAACTATAACTTAGATGACCCTTTAGGACTTGACTAGTATTAATTTAATATTAGAATTATTTGACAAATTTAATTCAGGTTAAGGCATATGTCGTTATCAACTTCATTTCGAAGCAGCTTGACCGCCACTTAAATGCAACATCCCATTTCAAATGTAGCCTTTTATTCAGGTATATGTATATACATGGGATATTATCAATTATGGTACAAATATTTTATGCTTTATGTAGAAGTGTTGAAATTATAAATTATTCAATTAAGGCATAATAAACAGTTATTTTGGGTTAGATTTAACTTTATATAAGAATAGGGTAGACTTAGCCCCTTTGAGGGTATGCGCTTACCCTCAAATTTTAAAAAATTGGAAAAAACCGTTTGCTTTGCAACAGTAAAATGTCATTATTCTTAAAATATTATTCTATATTCTTTAATTTTTTTTAAACCTCTTAAATTTGTTAATTTAACTAAATACCTTCAAATAATTTTTTTAGAAATTACAAAAATACTCCGACCACCGCCGGTGGTGGTGGCCGACTGTCTATATTTAATGGGTGGGTTGAGGGTGTTTTTGTTAATTTTTAATATTTTATTATAGGGGTGTTTAGTAAATAAATAAATATAAGGGATATTTTTGTTAATTTTCAAATCCTACATCGTAATATCTGCCCAATTTAACTTTTTTCAAAATGTTATTCTAAAAACTATCAGAATAATGAACCAAACGGAGCCTTAACCTCTGAACCAACATAAACTGATGCTTGCTTCTCTCTTCAACTTCAACCTCTAAATTCTAAGGTATTTGCTCTTTTTCAACTGTTTCTTGCCTATTTAATTGCCAAGAACATGAGGTTAATTTTTCTACTTTTTTTTTTCCTTTTAATGTGTTAGGTTTTTTAATTTTATTTTTATGCTCTGAACTCTGAGTTATTTTTCGTTCAACTTTTGTTATGTGTTTCGTTGATGAGAAACTGAGGTAAAGTTTTGTTCTTTATTGTTTTTTTAATTTGCTTTGAATTCTACGGTTCTTATTTTATTTTATTAATCTATTTTTAGTTTGTTAGGTTGATGAGAAATGAGGCTAACTTTTTTTTGTTTTGTTTACCTCCTTTTTGTTTAGTAATATTGCTCTGAATTCTTATTTTTTTTTTTTATTTAAGTATATTTTTTGTAGCCTGTTTGGCTTATGAGTAAATAAGACAAAGTTTTGTTATAATTTTAATTTAGACGGTTAAGTTTTGATTTTAGCAGTTGAATTTAGAGTTATACAGCTTGAAGTTTGATTGTTTCTCTGATGATTTTAATCCATCTCTTTGTAAACTTTATATATTTTACTTGTGTTAGAGTTGTGATTGAACTATAAATTTATGGGGAATATTTTTGATAGATTATGATTGCTCTAAACTCATTTGATTATATTAGATTAAGTGGATCGCTAGATTCTTGTAATCATTTAAATTACACTAGTAATATTGGTATGATTATAGACATGGGATAAGCGATATTCTAGTACCACAGTTAACAATTTGATGGGTATTATTTTCTTGTTAGCCATTATTCATAAATATAAATAGCTTTAGACTTATTCTTGAACCCATAATTGTGTTTAGACTTATAAGGTTTGTCAATAGCGACAAGGTGATATTGACAATGCATTTTTAGTGTAAGTGTTCATGCCTCTTCGTCTTAGGATGAATGACCTTCATTTCTGTCGTTTTTCTCTTGTTTTTATTTGGGATTTCTTATCTTAGATCTTATCCAATCCCCCATAATCATTATATATTTAAAATAAATAAAAATTAAAGAACATAATCTCAATATAAATTTATTCGTATATCAAAGGTGGCTGCTTCGTACGACTTATTCAAATAAAACTTATAAAAGTACAGTTTATTCCAGTAGAACTTTTATGAAAAAAAAAATTTAACTGTTTCTTTGAAAAAATGTAAAAGAGCTTCGAAGTCTTTCATTACCCAAAAAAAAAAACTTTAAATATACAAAAAATGATAAATCAATACTTTATATATATATATTTTAAAGTCAATAGAAAAGAAGTTCCTCGTAATATCGAAGGAAATTTATGGACCATTGTTGAAGTTAGACCTACTTTTCGCAAAAATCTTTGATTTAAAACATACCTCGTAACCTTCTCCAAACTTTTTGAATTTACCCTCCTTTGAAGCTTTGTCGTTGGTGGCTTGGTGCA